CAACTAATACATAGGGGAAACCTACCGATCTGGGTTGATAGGAGATTTATACGAAGTTAAGGTTATTCCAGGCAATAACCCGGGTAGTGTAGTAGTCAAGAGCAATGACCAACTTGCAAGGTTGCTCTTAGCGAGGCACAGGCCTGGGTTCAATTCCCCTTGGAACCAAAGTTCGTGGTCGGATGGTTTCTGGGTCATGTACCGCTTGGGATCCTTTCCTTTTTTTTATAGAATGTACTGCTCTAGTTCTGGTTGTGAACTCTTGCTTCAACAAATATAGCATTTACGGGGAGACTAGCCAGACCACAGATGATACAATGCATTGGATGTGGTATGGCACAGTCTTTGGTATTCATTTCTATAAACAATATCCCGCTTTCGGTTTCTTGATGCACTGATTGCAGATCACAATAGTCTCCCAGTCGGTTTACATGAGAAACAATGCATCTACCTATAATTTCAAGATCTGAGCACCCATAAGTGGTCTATACCAGGACGGAATTCCTCTTGAAACTTGCTGGGAAGCACGTCGGCTTTCTCCTCAGACATTCCTCCTGTATCTATGCTCCTGCGAGAGAATGGATGTAAGTCTCTGAAAGCGAGACAACATTTCTTCTTGACTCTCCAAAGACATTTGGTGCTTGAATCGAATTGTAGGTGGAAGGAATCAATGAACTTGGCGGAGAATATGAAGCTGGTGGAAGGGCGTAGATCGGTGACCGAGTTGTGTTGAGATGTACTGACTGATCAGCTAATTTCCTGTACAAATTAGCACAGGAATAGAACTCTCAAATGGAATTGAATTTACCAAAGAAGCAAGCTGTGAGGATGAGGAGGGAAATTCACCCACAGAGGGCCGTGGAGTAAGGAAAGTCCCATGACAGTAAAAGGCGGCATGTATTTGTATCCTAGCATTCGCTACTAGTCATTAATTCCATAATCCCTCGTTGCGTGCTCTCTAAATCCAAGCCAATATCAACGCCCTAAGGGAGAAAAGGATCCGAGGTGTACTCAATGGTGAGCGCAAAATCCAAATGGTGATAAACCTTTGTTGAGTTTACAGAATAATCTGTATGCCAGGCTCGTTCGGCTGAGCCAATACCGTGCGAAGCGTATGGCATCCCCACCGCTCTCGGTCTTTCCATGACTTCTGTGTTCGCTGGGGATGAATGCTTTCGTCGGTATTTAGGCAAGAAGCGACTAAAAAGGGCGCAAGCGAGAAGGAGGTAGTGCCGCTAGGACGGTCGAAACAGCCAATCTGTCTCCGGCGTCGGAATCAAGTAGTTTGTGATGTTGAATTCATTCGCATTGGAAGGATTGCCATCAGCTACCGGCCCGGTTGGAGGTACAAGGCCAGCATCCGTCAACCCATGAATCGACATCGGATTTGGCATAGACTCTGGTATTTCCAAATGAGATTGAGTAGAAGTAGACAAGTCAGGAGCCCGAGCGGGAGGAACACGGGGCACATTAAAGAAACCAAAAACATCGAGGTATTCGAGTTCGTTGGGGGCGAAGCTGCGGGTGGGCATTGCTGAAAGGGGCAGCTGGGGCTGGTGGCTCTCGCCAATGCCATTGTCGGCGGGCGATTCACGTGGTTGACGCGAGATCAAAAAGTCGAGATCGAACGCACAGCGACGCATATCAGCGAGAATCTTGACTGTTGATGGCGTGGATCGTTCGCCATCCATGGCAATGGATTGCTGGTACTCGTTGTACTCATCCAGGACGCGTTGAAGGATGCTGCTGTATCGCTCGGCGACTTTCCAGTATTTTCCCAACTGGAATAGAGTATCCACGAAAAAGATGATATCGGGACTGACGGTATGTGCAATGGTTGAGCCGTGGACGAGGAGTAGGCGTGCCGAGACCCAGAGAGTGAAGGCGAATGGTGGGCCCATCTTGTCTAGCATGTTGTGCTCTACAACGAACCTTGTTACTGATAGGATGTTTTCGACAGCTAGTAGGCATCGCTGGCTGGCACTGTATGAGGGCGTGAATATTGGAGATCGGGTTGTCGGGTATGCCGCTGAGGAGTGTAGACGAATCACAGCTCTAGAGTAATTGACCTGTCAATTGTTTGGAACGTAAAGATGAAGATGTGGCCCACTCACGTTTGGTAGGTTGCATGTAATTGCACCCAGTCACTGTGCAGAGCCCGGCCATTCTTGGGTCCGTTGAAGAGGCGGGACGAGTTCTCGTAGGCATATTCCGCCGGGAGATTGAACTCCCAGGATGTGAGCTCGCTGTCGAGTTTGCGATAGGTAGCCTGCCATTCCGCGACATCGGATAGTGCTCCGATATCTACGGGCCGTTTCAAGAACAGGTGAATCCGCGAGAGAATACCCAAGATTTCAACATAGAGCCCGAAAGACCCAACGTTCTCGGCTTTGGTGAGATAATCCGCACGATCGCTGGAGCGTTGGAACCACCGCGTCTCAACGGGCTGATTCTTCATGAAATAATCATCCTTGCAAGGAAGTTTGCGGTCGATATCTCTGTCGTCCAAGGCGAAGTTGAAGGCAGTCGCCAGGGTAGAATATCGATCCAGCAGGTAGACCATCCAGAACAAACGACGTCTACTCTCATCCTCAATCCAAGAGTCTGGCTCCGAAAGAGTGACAGCCCTTAGAGTATATATTGAGGGATAGAGGGGGTTGATAAGAGAAGACTTTGTTTCCACGGCCAACCCCAGCTGGACTACAGATCGGGTAATCAGGGCAAGGAGCTTCCAACCCGGTGGACCATTGGAAGATCCAACCAGATCAAGAGCTAAAATCACGAGTGCCTGAAGTGCCTTGACCGAAGAATTTTCCAGGCCATACAGAACGACCTTTTGTTTGGACGAGTCGTGATAGCGCTTTCTGTTCTGGTCATTAAGCCTGTTGTCGGAGGAGAAACGCAGAGTTGTCGCTACAATTGCATACAACACCATTCGGTCTGCCTCGTCTAGTGGCGATGGACCAAAAAAGGTATCCAGGGTTGTTCGCCGGTGGAGGATCGGGCACCAGGAGTTGATATGTTCGAAATAGAGATCTACCAAAGCATAGAGCAAATCATATGGTGGCAGATCTAGATCAGGATTCGCAAGAGATTGCTCTTGGTTTGAGTATATGTTGACGGGAACCTTCAAAGAAGATTCGTTTCCTGTGTAATCTTGATGTGCGTTTTGGGCATGTAACAACTGGCCAACTGGCACCGTCGACATGTCATGTTGTAGATGATTATGTGAGGTATTCTTCACAGAAGCATCTGATGGACTGTTGGTAGACAAATCCGCACGGCGTGAGGGTAGAGTAACAGCAGACCCGGCCTCGTTGAAGTAGAGGGCCGTACTAGGACTAGGTCCCTGGACTGCTGACGGCTCGGATGGAGAGCTACACGAAAGATGCCCAGCGTGGGGTAACTCGTGACCCATCGAAGACTGGCTTTGCAACATATGCATCTCAATAAGCCGAGCCTGCGATTGAATAATGTCTTCCAATCGATCTGGGGTACGAGTGAGACATGAAATCGACGACGAGCAGACTGTATAGCAACCTACCAAGTCGTTGTTCTAACTCCTTTCCATAGCCAGCTCTCAATCCAGGCTTCTTTCGTTCTTTATATTCACATATCTGGCCATTTCGGGTACACCAGCCGCAGCTCGGTTGTACTCGGTCTGGGTTGGTCAATATTAGAAACGCTGCATTTTCCTAGGGTCTGTTTACACCATACCGCATTTAACCTTTCTCTGCTTGCATAGTTCACATCTTAGTAGAATTAGTTAGGGTCACATTTCATACAAACGGATAGCCGAGGTGACTCAGGTACGCACGAGACGGTGAGGGGGCGTTTCCGCTTCAAGGCTCTTGTGGAGCCATTGAGTCCAATATGATCATTATCAGAATCCGAGGAATACTCTGCACTCTGATCTCGGTTTGGATCGCCGAATTGCTGATTGGAGGACGGGGCCTCCTGGGCGGGAAGCGCAGTGTTCGGCATTTTGATTTAGCGAGATAGGAATTCGCCCTATCAGGGACCGAGCATGATGCAAAACAGATTCACGGTGAGATGTCCGAATAGGCTGGGATAGCCTGTTATATTGTTTTCAAACAGAGGGAGCCAGAGGGAGCCTTAGAATGTTCTCCACGATAGTCAGTATTGAACCTGAGGGAAAAAAAGAAAGCAGAACCAGAAATCGTCGGGCTCGTGGAGCTAAGGCCTCAGGCAGAAACCGGGGTCCCCCGCATTTTCCGCTTTTGGAATCTCCTGGGGTTTCTGTTGAACCGTTCGCGCACCCCCTATTTCAGGGTATAAAATGCTTGGTGACACTCTTGAAAATTATATAATTTTTTTTTAGATTGAATTCTATCTAAATATTAAAGAAATAGGTGGGGTAGCAGGAATCGAAGAAATCGAAGTACATGAACCTCCCATCATCACTAGTCTATATACTAGTCTAGAGGAGAGTTGCAAGGCATACTTTGTCTAATATAATCAAACCATAAGCTTTGTATATGCATGAGTATTGGGTAATTTTGCCTTGAATCCTATTGGTTAACTGTACCGGGCAATACACAGGCATAAAAATGGCTTCGTGTCTTATACCCTGGCAGTATACATATCAAGCTTTTCATTTAATTGAATATAGAAAACCGTTAGCTACTTGCAACATCTACTAGCCTAATAGTATCAACGTGTCATTATAGTTTACTAGGGGGAGAACCGGTGTCATCACGTTCTATGAGACCAATAAAAGGCAACCGTTAAGGGATTTATCAATATGAATTAGGATTTACACATCTCTAAACTCACCTTTTACTACATATCAGCGAGTTAAATTTTCCAACCAGTATCTGTCGCAAGGCCAAGTAAATCCGCCTACCCCAAGTAGAATATTGGGGTCATTCGGGGTTATCACAAGTTTGCGGCGTTAGTTCAGAGCTAACTCCGGGGCATGATGCTTAAAGCAGACCTGTCGATGCTCTTGTATGTTTATCATTATCAATACCTTCATCATGGCTACTACCAAGCTCACCTGGCTCATCACTGGCTGTTCCTCTGGCTTTGGCCTTTCTTTGACCCGCGCCGCCCAGGCTGGCGGACACAAGGTCATTGCGACCTCGCGCAACCCATTGCGGACACCCGAGCTGGTTGCCGAGATCGAGTCTAAGGGGGCAAGTGGGTTCAACTTGATGTGGACAGTCATGACAGCGGCGATATCATTACCGAACTTGAAAGCCATGGCGACCATATTGACGTCCTGGTCAACAACGCCGGATATTCCATTTACGCCCCCATCGAGACTGCCAACGAAGAGGAGGTAAGAACCCAGATGGAAACCATGTACTTTGGTCCCTTGCGTCTCATCCAGGCTGTTCTGCCCCATATGCGCCAACGAAAGGCCGGCGTGATAGTCAATATGAGCAGTGGTGCTTCGCTTGATGGAATTCCCACCATGGGGGTGTATGCGGGTGCAAAGGCAGGTCTAGACGGTATGTATTAATGAGCCTCATGCCAAAGGAAGCAGCTAACTGTGAGTCTGGCAGCCCTTACCAAGATCCTCGCTAAGGAAGTTGCCCCATTCAATATCCGCACCCTGACTGTCGTTCTCGGAACCTTCAATACCAACATGCCAAACTCGGTGGTTCTGGGCAAGACTCCCCTGCCGGAAGACTACAAGGGAACTTTTACCGAGCAAATTCAGGGCCTTCTGGTCAGTGGGAAGATCAAGCCCAACGGTGACAAGGACAAGGCAATGCAGGCTGTGTACCAGGTCGTTGCTGGCGAAGGAGTTGGCGAAGGCCTTCAAACCGAGAAGCTTCTCCCTCTAGGAAGTGATATGACCCCTCGACTCAAAGGAGTTCAGGAATATCTCGGCCATTCTTTGGACGTGTTTGGCTCTGTGACCAACAGCGTGGATGTCGATAAATAAATGATTCTTCCCCTTTTGAGGTTTCCTGCTAGGCGCCTTGCTGAGGTCTGAAAACTATAACCCATAGAACCTTATGGAATTTCAACAGCATTTTTATCCGACCCACATATAGCCTGAAATAAATAAAATAACATGTGTTGTCGCAATAAATTCTCCGAGTCGGCGTTTGTCCGTCTCTCGGGGTAGCAATGCACCGAGCTCCCCTCGGCATGTGGAATTCGTTGAAATAGACGTGAATCCCCCGCAATTATTGGATTTCTACTTTTATTTCTTTTTCTATCTTCTCCCGTTGACAATTATTGAGTTTCTTTTCGTTTGAGACTTGTTCATTTCATACATCATGGGTTCAACAACGGAATTCCCCCGCATTAAGGAAGTCCGCACCTTCATCATTGATGGTGTTGGCTCCGGTGGCGACTACCACAATGTAAGAGCTTGGAGATGTTAATTGTCTCGAAATTTGACATGCTGACTTTCGACACAGGTCAAAGGAGGCCACTGGCTGGTCGACAGCGACATCTCCACCCCTATGACCAAGTGGGCACAATTCCGTGGCTCGCGAACATCATGGGGCATCAATGTTTTGGGATCATTCTGTGTGGAGATTGAGGCCACTGATGGCACCAAGGGCTTTGCGACTGGTTTCGGAGGTCCGCCCGCATGCTGGCTGACCCAGCAACATTTCAACCGCTTCCTGGTTGGCGCGGGTATGTACACCATCTGACATACATAGACAAGTGGATCTTTCTGACGAACTATATTTCAATAGACCCCCGTGATACCAACGACCTCTTTGAGAAGATGTACCGCGCCTCGATGTTCTACGGCCGCAAGGGTTTGCCCGTCGCCGTGATCTCAGTCATTGACCTCGCTCTATGGGATCTGCAAGGCAAGATCCGCAAAGAGCCAGTCTACAAGTTGATCGGAGGAGCGACTCGAACCCGATTGAACTTCTACTGCACCGGTCCCCAGCCTGGCTCCGCAAAGGCAGCCGGCTTCATCGGCGCCAAGGTGGCCTTGCCACACGGTCCTGACGAGGGTACCGAAGGCCTTCTGAAGAACGTTGAATACCTGCGTCAGCAGCGCGAGAAAGTCGGGGCTGACTTCCCACTACGTGTGGACTGCTACATGTCTTTGAATGTCCCCTACACAATCCAACTAGTCAAGCGCTGCGAGGCTATTGGACTTGACATTGACTGGTGGGAGGAGTGTCTTTCGCCCGATGACTTCGACGGCCACGCGCTGCTCAAGCGTGCCCACCCAACTGTCAAATTCACCACCGGCGAGCACGAGTACTCCCGCTACGGCTTCCGCAAGCTGATTGAGGGCCGCAACCTTGACATCCTCCAGCCCGATGTGATGTGGGTTGGTGGAATGACCGAGCTCCTCAAGGTCTCTGCCATGGCTGCTGCTTATGATCTTCCCGTTGTGCCCCACGCATCTGGTCCCTACTCTTACCACTTTGTTGTCTCCCAGTCCAACAGCCCCTTCCAGGAGTACCTTGCCAACTCTGCTGATGGCCACACTGTCGAGCCTGTGTTCGGTAACCTTTTCTTGAACGAGCCCATTCCTACCAAGGGCTACCTTGACGTCTCTATCTTGGACAAGCCCGGATTTGGTCTGGAACTCAACCCCGCTGCTCCCCTGATCCCTGCTGCTGCTATCCTTACGCCGGCGCCCCAGAAGTCCCTGCGTGCTCCTGATAACGAGGAGGCGGCCAATGGATCTGCGTAGATGTCGACCATTCGGCGGAATTCTTTTCTATTGTTATGTCCTTGATCCGTTTCATGTTTATCAGATATTTACGCGCTACACGAGAATCATGTATATACACATCGGATTTCACTATCCTTTAAATACCATCCCATGGTCCTTCTCATGTCCATTACCATTAAATAGTACAAGCTTTCTTGCACTCTGCGCGTATACAGGGCATAGAAACATAAAACAATACAACCAGTGGTATGTTAAGTAGAAATAAACAACCACTTCGTCTATATACATTCCAACACTAGAGAGCTATGGAGTGGGAACGGAGGTCGTATGAATTGAAAAATCTGTGATGTGTGCAAAATCCAATTAAGCAGTAGGAGGAGCCTAAGTCTAAAATAAAATAGAGGGGTTCTTTACAGAAGAAATTAGTTAGTCTAATTTTCTATTTAGATAATTCTTCAATTGGTCTTGGCTATAGGTCACTCTGCTTCTGATGTTCAACAAATGACCGAGGAATGAAAGGGTACGAGCATTTTGCATTCATCTGCTTGAAAACATGGGACTATCTTGTTGAAAAATAAGGCCCCTCCATTGCCAGATCCGAGATATCGGTACTTGAAAGCCTTCATGGTGTCATTTCACATTTCTGGTCAGACTCACGGACAATCCCACCTCTCCGTTGGCACTAGCAGCCAGGGTGCACGCCGATGGAGTTAGTCCCTGCAGCACCAAAGGTGTTCTCTCCAGTGGGGCATCCCCTGTGGTCGGTGTTATGACCATTACAGCCAGCATGGTTCCAGTTCCAAATAGTCGCATCTTCAAGGTTGGAAACAATCAAGCAAGCGGTGTTCTCGGCGGGAATGCAAGCGCTAGGTGAGACAAAACTGCCATCAAAGACGGTAGTACAATCGGTACAGGACGAGGTCCTGCAAGCCTGCACAGTTGCGTGACTGCGCTTGACAAGAGAAGACTCAGCGTTGCGAGAAAGGACGACGTTGGCCATCTCTTCAGATTCATGGTAGGCGAAGTTCTCGTCACGGACCATGACCGTTATATTAGGGGACGATGTTGGAGAAGCCAAGTTGGACTGGACGCCAAAGGCAAGCAGTATCATAGTACTCCAAGCGAAATTTCTGAAGGAAGACATGATGATAGGCTGAAGTTGGTAAAAATGAACAGTGTTCGTAGCAAGATGTTCAAAGTTGGGTTTTGTTGAACCGAGCTTGAAGGAGTACAGATGAAACTATACAGCACGTAACAAATGAGTCAATTTCTTGGAAAAATTGTACTATAAAATAGTGAGAAGATTGGAAGTGTGGAACTATCTGATCTCTTCATACTTACAATCAGAGGCCTTATTTATGTGCTTCTCTCCCACCCCTGTAGATGTAAAATCCCTCATCTACTGAATTCGAATTTGTAATAGAATCAAAGAGAAAGATGATTAAATCATCAATCATTCCTAAATATCCATGGGTATGTGTACTGATAAAAAGAATGGTGATCAAATCATCATCCATCTATAGATGTCAGAAAGATGATCAAATCATCAACCATGCCCACGAGTGTGTCAGCCTATAGAGTAGAGCGCTAGTCTCTCAGAGGGGACTATCACTTTCTAAGTGTATATTTAGTATTTGTTTCACTTTTTTGTTCCTAACTGGCTACCTAGGTAACTCTCTAGTTTTGTTTTGGGAAGTGCGAGGCTGGTCCACATCCGGGCCGGCCCTAGCTGCTCGTTAGCGTCGTATCTCGTTAATTAAAAGTGCTCGTTTGCGATACAACACCATGGATTTGTATTCAGAGAAAAGTCACGATCAACACTGTATCTGGAGTGCTAAACGTTTTGTGGATGATCTGGATGCTTGGGAGTTCGGGATAAATTCCGGTTATATGGTAATCTAGTATAGGCATCTAGTATAGGTAGATGATATTGACCAAGGTGATAACAGCGTTACTAGTAGATTCATGTATTTACTAGGGCGACCTTGCTCTCTCGAACTTATCGGCTTGGTGCGGAGCTATATGTCCAAACTGGCGTGGTCCAGTCTGGTTCTACAAGGGTGTTCGAAGATGACCTGATAGACAAACTTAACGGCCAGGCTCGCTAAATTTATGAAGATTTATATGCTGCCCATGCATAGTATGTGAAGTGGGGGTTCTGGTAAACCTATCCATGGATGGCTATGGCCGTTTCCAACAAGCCATAGTCAGCATTTTCTCCTCAGGACGCCTAAAGGAGGTGAAGATCTGAATTCGACGTCAAGATTTTGTATATTGTCTCTGAAAAGCGCGGGAGAACAGGAAACATGTAACAGATATCCGCTACCTAGATGATTGCCAGTTTCTCAGCATCTTCCCACAAAAGAGGTCGCTAATTCGACCTTCTATATTCTGCCGTAGATCAGTGGGCCAGTGGCCCCTCAGCCGGTGCGGTGGGACTCGTGGAACAAAAGTCCCCGAGCGCATCAATTTCCCAAGTTGCGTGTACTGTCGAACACTGCCGAATCGCATGTGACCCGTATAGTCTCGTTCACCGACCAGAAACGCTTCCATATACCATCGTAGGACTGGTTGAAGAATAAAAGGATACCAGTCGCCAATGACGAAATGCATTGAGAGAAGGCTTAGGGATGCCTTGTCAAAGAACTCGATAAGGGCCCGACAAGTGTTTTCGTTGAGGTTGGGGTGAGGCCAGGGCTCAGAGTGATAGCAAGAAAGGCCTGGTATGTTAAGTTCTAAATGTTGAAGATGAATGTGTTGTGCGATTTTGGCGAGAAGATCGTATGGCTATAGTAATATTAGCGACTGGGAAGCCTCTATCAATGATAAAAAAACAAATACTCACCAATTCCTTGTCAGGTGCCCAGTCAAGATTAATACCGAGAGACAGGAGGTTAGGGAGTTGGTCAACTAAATTGACGAGGTTGTGAATGCTGGCAGGAGAGGGGTGTTTATTTCCAGAACGTTTTGCCATTCCAAGCTCAGAGCTCAATGCATATCGAAACCGTAGGTGATGAAGGGATTTGGCGTGATATTTGGCTAATACCTCCAGGGTCTTTTGCGGGAAGCCATACCCAATAAACATTTTTAAAGGTGGAAGCTCTGTTAGAAACCCGTGGAATTGTTCCACCCGTTCGAGATATTCAGGGCAGTCTCGTTGATATTGATAACTCAGGTTAGGAATGCTCATCTCTAGAGTTTCCAGCGCATGAAAGCAGCCAGGGACAGTGATCTTAGGCAACAAGTGAATCCAATCGACGCTAATCAAGGATAAATGTTTGATGGTTTGCCATTGTACTTGTGTGGCCCATAACGTGCTCTGGAGAGGTCCAAACCTCATACCTTCAAAGTGAATGTTTTTGACTGGAGGAAAAATATTTCCTTCTTCCAACGTAATGAGACCCCTCAAATTATTCTTGGCTTCAAGTTCCCTCCCCTCGAAATGAGGTGAGATATCGTCAGGGCGACACGACCTCCAATATCCCGTGGCAACCAATGTGAGGTTTTCCAAGTTCTTACTTCGATAAATAATATCTTTCAATTCAGCTGGATAGCTTGCAACTGAATTTGGCCTGATTGGTCTGTCATACTCTCCGACGCACCACTCCGCTTCGATTGAACGGATGCAGGAGAGTTGAGGTGCCGATGAACGCTTTTTGTTGATTCTCTCACATAGTGCAACTTTCGAGCTAGCTATGTGGACACTTGCTTGGGGGCAGTATTTGTAAAGGTGGTGCAGAATTTCCCCTGGCATGTATCTCTCATGCCACCAGCTGGAGTAAATCAGCACTGTGTCAAAATTAAATAGAAATCAACGTACTGGAAGTTTTGGAGATTCTCCGCCAGCCTAAATAGGTATGATAGGAATTCCACAAACTCATTACAGAAGTCAAACTGGCAAGGAGATACACCACGAGAGCGCACCACAACAATATTTTTCACATGCACACACAAATTAGTGGGATAGGTACACATTTTCCACAGGAGTTGGTCAGATGGAAACTCCACCTCAGACTCTAGATACAGAGTCTTGAACAGTATCGAAGCGGCGATGTTGTACAACCTAGAGCCGCAGAGCACAACAGCTTTAAGAGAGGGGCAATCCAGCTGAATTGTAATGTGAGCTTGGTATTCTATTAATTTCTTTGCATTTTACAAGACATACCATGCCTAAAATGTGATGCCAGATCTCCGAGGGCAATCGCCCCGGCAGCGGTTGGTTAGATAGATCCATCCTGTAAACTACATGTAGATATCAAGACAAGGAGTGAAGGAAGACCACCCTAATGCAATAGCAGGGTAGAAGATATCTCCCAAGTGACAACTCATCAAGGTTTTAGGAAATTGCCAACAAGTGAGGAAACATTGAGCTTGCCTTGTCTTGTCTTCCTGTTTTCCCAATGGGGCCCTGGGGCCTGGAATGAGTCACCAAGTTAGCCTGTCCAATTTCAAGCGTGTGCCCCAAGGCCGACAGGGGAATTAGACAGACATATGTGCACACTTTTTTCAACTCATGTTATACATGAGTTATGGAATTACATATAGTCTATACAAGGGGTATTAGTAGTTATCACCGTGTCTGTATGACACTAGGGCATAGAGAAATCGCAAAATGAGATGCTATTGTTTTGTAAAGACCTTTAGCAAATGCTAACAAATGCTACTATTTAGAATAAAATAACCAGGGATATCAAGATCAGATGCTAAGAAACAGTTTACTCTAAATATCCTATTAATCCGATGTTTCTCATCTGTGTGCTATTTGCCAGAGAATGTGGGGGTTTCCCCACACAACTCGGGGTAACATCACCACGAAACACCGAGCTTATCGACCAGGTGAAAATTATGGGAATTCTGAGTATTCTGAGTATTCTGAGAATTACAAACGACACCTCTCCATTTCCAACATCCCCAATGGCTTTCCCACAGTTACTAGTTGGCAAAGTCGCCGCCATCACTGGTGGCCTCACCGGAATCGGACGGGTATGGTTTCTCATCTCCGAATTTACATGCATGCAGAGAGGGGGAAAAAACTAACATGTTCCAGGCAATTGCCCTTGATTACATCCGTCACGGAGCCAAAGTCTCCGTCAGTCATCTCGGCGGCGAAAAAGAAGACGCACTACTAGAAGCACTACGCAAAGACGTGAACGAGATCGAGCCTGAAGCAGCCAAGACCCGATTCCTCACGGTATCGGGCGACATTTCACAGCCAGAGACAGGTCAGAACTTCGTCGCAAAGACCGTCGAGGCATTTGGTCGACTAGATGTATTCGTGAGCAACGCAGGCGTGTGTCAATTCGCCGAATTCCTAGAGTGAGCCATACCCAATTTATCATTTACAATTCCACCCCTCTTCTCCTCTCTAACAACCCCACCAGGCTCGAGCCCTCCCTCTTAAATCATACAATCTCAACCAACCTCTCAGGCGCATTCTACGCTACCCAAGCCGCAGCCCGCCAAATGGCATTGACCCAATCGCCACCGGGCGGCTCCATCATCGGCGTGAGCTCCATCTCTGCCCTGGTCGGTGGTGCCCAGCAGACCCATTACACACCCACCAAAGCCGGTGTATTGAGTCTCATGCAATCGTGCGCATGCGCACTCGGCAAATATGGTATTCGGTGTAATGCGCTGCTGCCAGGAACTATCCGGACGCAGCTTAATGAGGAGGATATGAAGGATCCTGTTAAGCGGAATTATATGGAAGGTCGGATTCCATTGGGTAGACTGGGTCAACCGCGGGATTTAGCTGGGCCGGCTGTTTTCTTGGCTTGTGAGGAATTGAGTGGTTACGTAACTGGTGCACAGCTGCTGGTTGATGGTGGGTTGTTTGTTAACTTGCAATGAGGATATATATAGTTGTTTTTCTTGAAAGTACAAGTCAATTATTCATGAATATACATATTGCAAGATCAAGGGGCCTTGCATTTCTATGCTTGATAGTAATCAAATCTTTAGATCTCTATACCATAAGCACGCAAAGCAACAGATCCCCATACATCCCTCTTTTGTTCCTCAGACAGCCCCCTCCGTTCCAGGATCTCCTCCACTACACGTGCCCATCTACCCCAAGACACATCATTCCCACCACCACCAACATTACACACCGGCCAGTCCGATCCAAACATAACACGATCCGTCCCGAAAGCATCAAAAACAACATCAGTCCATGGCTGCACGCGCTCAACGATTGCCCCAAAATCCGGTTCCGACTCCCCCTCTAGCGGTAGAAGCTCCGAAAACGCCCCAGAAAGCTTCATATAAGTCCTAGGATTCACCTTCGCCATTTTAGTGACAAGATCCTTCCACTCAAGGAACTCGGGATGAGAGTGAACATCATCCACCAGACGAAGGTTAGGCTTGCACAAATGATCTATAATCGTTAGCAAGAAGAACCCAAATCCTGCAATCTCAAAGAAGAAAAGAAGAAAGAAAAAAAAGACCTACTAATGACAATCGTAACCGCCCGATCCCCCTCCAACCCCCTATAAGCCAACCCCATCATCTCAACCGCCTCCCTCAACTGCCCCAACCCACCAGACCTCGCATCAACCCCAAGATCAAAAACAAGTCCCTCCCTCCCCAACCACCTCAAACCCTCCACAAACTCACCCTCAAGCATCGTGCCTGCAACCTTATCCTGCACCAAATACCTAACCCCCCTAACCTTCCCCCAAACAACCTCCCCAGTGCGACCACGGACCTGCTCCATATACGCGCTCAACACATCCGGTCCACCGGGAACAGGCGCCCACGGCACAATCCCCAGACAGAGGGATTTGTCTTGTGGGACGTGGCCCTCGCCTGGGACTGGTGTACCGAGGGCTATGCGTGTTAGGAGGGAGACTTCGTCTAGGGCGTGTTGCCAGCCGTGGTTTGGTGGGGTTGAGTCGGTTATTGAGGAGAGACGGTCTGTTTCGAGGAATATAAAGCCCCGGAGGAGCGGAGTGGTGGTGTTGGATTGTGTTGCTGCGTGGCGGTATTCGTTTACGCTGTGTTGCGTGCCTAGGGGGTTGTTGGCGTTGTGCCAGGATAGGGTTTTCAGGTGTGTTTCTGGGAAGAGGTGGATGTGGGAATCCACAATTGGGATTTGGGTTGGTGTCATGGCTTTGGGTTATGTAGTTTGGCGTTGTGTTCTGGCTGGTGTGGGGTTTAGTTGAGTTGTAGAGTGGAAGATGGGGATGCGGGGTTGGGTATTCGTACGAAGTACTTGGTATCTGGGTTTGAGGGGGTTTTCTTTTGGTGAGAGGTTCATAGACAGTGAGATTTTCCGGGTGGATGTCAAGTCCCTTTAAGTCATGGGAGCTAAAACTCGTCGGTCGTTCTTGTCCCGAATCCAGAGCTTGGTGGAGACAAGTAATTTCAGGTATACAAAAAGGATCAAAACTATTATTGGCTATTGAATTCCACGTACATTCTACAGTACTACACCATCAGAGAATAATGCTATACATAGCTAGGTAGGACAGAAAGAAATTCATATGCACGAGAAAGGATCAAGAGTATACATACACCAAGTGGATAACACCACGAGGGCAACAAAGGGAATGCATCAGGGAACATAAGAGGGAGAACACAGTAACAGTAACAGAGGCAAGGTAAAAGGCATGTGAACAACCCCTTCTGCAGCAACACAGCAGAAGGGACAGGGTATGTATGCATGCACGCCTAAGAGGCATGCAGTAAAAAAAAGTTCAAGTTCAAAAGGAGAAACAAAAGACAAGAAAAAGTAAAGGTGACGTTCCAAATTGTAACTCGCCAGGTCGTCTTCGCTATGATCAGGGAGCAACGAAGGCGTGAGTGAAATATATTGCCATATGGCATGTTTCCCCCGGCGCGCCGATATACTGCTCCCAGTTCGATCTATACAAGGTTTCCTCTGCATCCACAAATCCCACAAACCTAATCGTCCATAGGCTTGTCCTCCAGAGTAACTCTGTTGGGCTCACTTTCAGCGATGCTGCTTCGGTTGCTGTCCGTACCACTGGCCCCGACAGCCGAGCCAGTAGGGAAGCTAGACAAGCTACCAAGGCCTGGCTTGCGGCTGGATCGAGCACCAGAAGAGCGGGACATAGAATTGCGCTTCTCAAACTCGGCAGATACTACAGCTGGAGTAGGGGTAGGAGTTGGAGAATCATCGGAAGCTGTTTCAGGGAGAGAAACAGGAGGGGGGCTGGGGGAGCTCGAGTGGGCGCTGGTGCTAGCATCAGCCGAGGCAGGAGACTCGGTATACGTGCCGTTGGTAATAGTCTCGGCAACTTGGGTGTTCACAACGGGAGCGGGAGCATCCTCAGCTCCAGGCTGAGGAGCCTTGTTGGCTGGTACATCTAGGCTACTGCGGGTGGATTTGCGGTCTGAAGGGCTGTTGACGTTGATCGGGAACCGGCCTATCTCCGAAGCACCACTCGAGCGGTCACGTCGATGCCGTTGGCGATTGGCGGGACTGGTTGCCCGGCTGCGATTGACAATAGCTCGCTGGCGGGCCTCCATCGCCGCACGACGGTTACTCTCGTCCGTGCTGATGGCACGTGGACGGTTGGAGCTGGAGCTGGTAATTCCGAGCGCACTCGATTGGCGCTTCAGTTCGCCAAAGATATTGTCCTTGTGGGCAAACAGATCGCGGATCAGGCGGTAGCTGTGGCGCTCATTCATCGTCAGACTGCTCTCGATGCGAGGGCGAAGAATACAAGGGGAAAAGGCCTGTGCCAACGAAGTGATGTATTCTTCGTCGGCCGAGGTCAAATCAATCAGGCGCGTGAAGTGAGTCATAATGGCATCAAGCGTAGCGATATTGACGAGGCGGAGTTGTCCAAGGGTGCTTTGGAGAACCTTGATCCGTCCTTCTTCCGTGGTCTCATGAGCGGTGGTGGAATAGATCGTCTTCACGATTTCGTAAACTTGTGAAGAAACCAATGAGTCTAATTGAAGATTAGTATGAACTTATATCAAGCCATCGAGAAAGCGACGAACCTGGCAATTCAAGAAGGTACAATCTTAGAACGCTTGCAATAACTGGGATTTCAAATTGAGGCAACACCTCGGCATAATCGGCTTTGCTGTTGTTCAAAACTTGACGAAGCTTATGTGTCGTGCTGAGATCAACTTCAGTCAACCAGATCATTCGCCGTGCTTCATCGCCTTCAAGTTCAGGGTAGCCTGTAGAATTTGTGAGCCTTGGTTCATGAATCGGAACATATCCCACGAATTTCTTACGGTTATCTAGGTAGGTCAGAATGGTGGTCACAAGGATCGGAACACGTTTGCGGTCGGCACGAGCTCTAGCTTCAAGGTCGACACCAAAGTTTTGTTCTGTTGGAAATTAAAATTAGCAAAGTTTCATGGCTGGGCAATGACCATGGTTGTACCTTCAACGGAACCATAGTAGTTCTCATATGCTTGAATCTTAGGCACGAATCCACCAGTGCGGTAGTTCTCAAGCAGATATCTCAGGTCGCCAAGGGGCTGAATTGTTTCCTGATACAGCATCATATGATCCACTGTGCTCTGCAGGTTGGGAATGACATTGCTAATCGCGCCCGAGAAGTCGAGAACCACGGCTTTGATGGCTTTGAGGCGGTCCAGCTCGCACTGCTCCATGTATTTGAGTTGGCCAATGACTTCTTCCTCCAGACGACAGCGGATCTGATCAAGTCTACGAACGGCAACCTTGTACCGCTCATCGGCTTCCAAAGCCTCCCTTCGAAGCTTCTCCGAGGGTGTCTCGTTCGGGTAAGGGTTGTTGAGGGGATTCCATCCAGACAACATCTCTGAGACAGATGCAATGGGCGAGTCGCTGGAGCTGCCGTCCTCGCTCGATGCCACTGAGGTGACACGCATGAGAGGCTTCTTTTTTCTGGAATACCGGTGATTTGGAAAACCTTGGGACGCCACTGATAGTTCATCTTGGAGCTATTGGCAAAGACATTGCCCATATTTCCAACCAGGCGAAGAAGACCGTTGTCTACCATATCTTGACCAATTATCTCCACCTGAGCGAGATTCTCGGCCTCCATGTAGGTTTGGATATATTGCGAAATATCCGCGCCGGTGGATACATTCAGATAGGTGCCGATGATGGGAACCTTTGCCTCGCCAAGCTTGATGTTATCAAGCATATGGGTCAGGAGCTTTTTGAGGTGGTCTGGCGGGAAAATCCGCTCACCCAACTCGATGGGGTCTTCTTCGGGCTCCTCCTCGGTGGGGAGAATGATCTTCGGGGGAGCCTTGATCTTGGGGCTCGTCTCAGGGTCTTGGAAAGCAAGTTTGTTCTCTTCTTCCAGGTCCTCGACGACACGACACTTGTTGAAGTAAGTACTGCGCAACTTCCTTACCAGCTCCGCTTGCTTGGTGTGTTCCTTGATGCGGGACTGGAGGAGGTCATGCGAGTACTGAACACGCAGGTCGTGCTGCTCACCCCAACGCCGGAAGGGCGATACGACCAATTCACGGATATTGTTGGCGATCTTCTGGTGGTTCTTGGAGGCCTCGACCATCTCAGTGCGGATTCCTTCGTATGCCTGTAAGGTGGTTCGCGCGACGTCAGTCTTCCTTCACTCCGGTCCATTCTATCCGTCTGAAAACAAACCTTTCTGACACTGGCTCCATCGTCCTTGCCGAATCCCACTGCCGTCATCCTATCCACGCTCGGGGCAATGTCTCCCATGCGGAGTCCATACTGCTCTTCCGCGTCTGCACGCATGGATGCAATAGCCAAAATCTGCTTGTTCTCCACAACTCCCTGCTGCAGCTTCCCGTACAATACCCCCAGACCCGAAGCATAGTCGGGGGTCCAGAAAGAGTCCGCGAAACCGGGCATTATGGCGGCGGCTAAAAGGCTGATTCAAGCTGTTAAGCGGAGGCACGTTGCGATCGGCGTAAGAAATGAGAGCGATCTGGTAGGTTACACCAGTGAGTTGGTAGGTTCGGAGGAAAACGCGAATCGTAACAGGGTGGGAAAAGCGCGAAAATAAGTGTCAATCGGGGCGAATTGGCGTTAGGCAGTCGCTGAGGCTGAGGCTCTAAGTTTGCGATATGATCAAGGATACCGAGCGAAGACCAGCTAGCTTAGTTGTCAATTCAATATCCAGTCTTGACGCTAAATGGAACTGCGTATAGACCGGGACACCAATGACGAGGGAAGGAAGATCGCTTTGGAATGTAAGAGAAGAGAGTGCGCAAGGTGTTAAGCGCCGGGTCGCGGAAGAATTCGAGGCTAAAATGAGCGAAAGCCAGGCCAGGCAAATTGCGATGCAAGTTGGCAGGAAGCTGGCAACAAAAACAAAGAAAAACAGAAATGAGAAAGATGAAGATGGAGATGGAGTAGATGGAGTTCATGGATTTCCAGATCGTAGGGCGTCATGTGGCTCGTAATATTACGGGGATTTGTGTACATCTGAGACCATTACGGCCCAGCAAGAGTCCTTTAGCTTACAGCGTGGCTCTGGTACCCACCGTCTTTGAATCCACTTGGGGCTATTTTTGGGGTTGAAAATTACACTGGGGTGGTAATTTGATGCAAATCTTTAAATTTGGGTGTTTTTTTCATTTGTTGCAGAAAAAAAAAAAGGGGGGTGGTTGGTGTGTGGCTGGTCTCTTTTTTTTTTGTTTACAGTTGAATTGCATTGACATTGCATGTGGCTGTGAACCTTGCCTGAGAGTAATAATATGCATTCAATTAATATATATTGTAGAACTTAGGGTACGGAGTAATATGTAGTATAATATATGTGGCCACCCCTAAGCCGTTGATCATTTCTGACTTCCTGGGTCAAACGTTCCCCCACAAGTATCTGGCGCCAAGCCTGGAGGCTCGAGATGATGATCTACGTATCTACGTATAGTGTTGTTGGTTGTCAACAGGAGTTTATGTTGCATGGCCATTTTTGAAGTGTATGAACGTTATGTGTCATATTCATAAAACAATTATGGTATCGTGATTATCTTTAAGAGATAGCCTTCAAATATCAAGATGTACATAAGGGGGTGTAATCGAGAGCGAAAAAAAATTTATAAAAAAGACCAAACACCTGTTTAACAGAAGAAGTTGTAAACCTTCTTCCATGCAGGCCATTGTTTTTGCTCGGCCCGCTCCTGTTCAACCAAATGCTGAACATCAAGGTCGCGACGACCGGTAGCCAAATCCGCCTCGGATGGGCGAATAAACTTGGTCTTGTACACGACCTTGTAACCGATGTAGGAAACCAGAACCACGGGGGCGGCCAAGTAGACAGAGAAGAAGTTGTAGGCAATCTCCTGGGCGCTCATCTCTGCGTAACCGATGGGGGCAAAACCAACCCAGAACTGGGCAATCAGCACGAGACAGTTGAAGATGAGACCGATCCACGAGCCAATGACACCGGGCTGGGAACGGAAGGCCAGCTCATCCAGGCTGTGACCCTGTTGCTTCCACGCACGGCGGAAGAGGATGTGGGCACCACACACGGAACCCCAAGTGAAAATAGACGACAGACCCGAGATGGCCATCATCCAGGCAAAGGCAGTAGTCTGCACATCTGAGGCGGCGAGGTAGCAGAGCAGACCCAAAGCAGATGCAACCAGAATGGCGGGGAGAGGACGACCCTGGCGGTCGATATATGCGAGGAACCTGGGGGCTTGGCCCTGCTCGGCAAGGGCGGCAAGAGTACGCGAGGATCCGTAGACGGAGGAGTTACCGACGGACAGGACAGCAACCAGGATGACGACGTTCATGATCGAAGGCAAAGCTTTGATTCCTGCATTCTCAATGGCAATGACGAAAGGAGAGGCCTTAGCATCGGCGGAGGAGGTACCGCTGATAAGTTTCGGGTCGTCGTATCTCACCAGGAGGCCAACGACGGTAAGGGAAACCACGTAGAAGAGAGCAATACGCCAGAAGACCTGCTTCACGGCAGTGGGGAGGGACTTGCGGGGATTAGCGGTTTCGGCGGCGGCAAGACCGACCAGCTCGGTTCCAGCAAAGGCAAACGCGGCGTTGACAAACACACTGCAGAGACCCTTGAAACCGTTTCTGAATGCACCTGGGTCGTACCAGTACTTGGCACCAATGTATCCACCTTCGGGACCACCACCGCAGTTGAGGACGATTCCGAGGATGCTAATAGTCAAGTCAGTTGAGGAGTTCGGGTTTCAGCAAACAGTAGCGTGACTTACATGAAACCAATAACAGCAATGACCTTGATGATGGAGAAGACAAATTCAGCTTCACCGTATCCTCGCACACCGAACAAGTTGATTGCGACAATCAAAACCCAGAAGATGGTTACCCATGCGGCATTGGAAACACCTGGGTTCCAATAATCGACCGTGATAGAAGCAGCGACAATCTCCAAAGGTAGGACAACAAGCCATTGAAGAGCGTAATTCCAACCCATAGCAAAACCCCAAGCCGGATCCACGAAACGAGTCGAGTAATGGGCGAAAGAACCGGCAACAGGGAAGAGAACGGCCATTTCACCCAAGGCGTGAACTGTGCAGTAAAGCATACATCCAATCAAAATATAGGCAATCAATACTGAGGCGGGACCACCGGCAGCCAAGACGGATCCGGAACCAACGAAGAGACCAGTACCTACATAGTAAATGATATTAGCAAGGGCAAATGATAGAAGACTTTATAGAGAACATACCAATAGAACCACCAATGGCAATCATCTGCAGATGGCGCCCCTTCAAGCGACGCTGCAACGGGGAGTGGGCAGTGTTATGGGCGGCACCCTCGAGATCGAAGCCAGCGCCATCAGCTCCCGCATGGCCGGTGACGTTCTGGTTGGGGTCTCTCTTGAAACTGTCCATGATTCGTTGGCCTAAGCCTCCCTTCGTGGGAGATGAGTCGCCATAGGATGGGGGACCATCCGAGCCACTCTGGACGGTGTGCTCGTCGAGCTTCTTCTCATCCATGGTGTGTGTATGTGAATAGGTTTCTCTTGTAAGGATGGGTGAGATTATTCAGAAAGGTAGGCAGTATTATCTGAATGATCGACCTGAGGATTCCGGAGAGTTCGAGGTCTATGAACCAACACAGGTGAAACAAGTAGTCGTTTGACCGTTTAGGAGGGGGGGATGAGGGTATAAATACAACCAGTCCGATTTCAGATAAAAAGAGATATTATTATTTTTACGTGCCATATGCTCAAATTAAATCAAATTAAATCAAAAGCACCCACATGTATCTGCTTTCATGCGCTTAGACCAACTAGAGTTTCGCACTAATAACATTTCAAACTACAATCTTCTGATGATCTTGGCATATTCTGGTTAACGCCCGAGTCCGAGTCCGATAGTAAATAGGCAAATTATCTTTTGATTTTATTTTATTTTATTTTATTCGATTTAAATTTACATTTGATGGATGTACCCCATGCTCTTTACGTAAAAATCTTATTCGAGGCTATGGCTTACGATCATGATTCATACATACATACATAAATCGCAGAAGTAAGCTGCAAGCGGTAAAGTTTCCTGACCTTTTACTGGGAGATAAGCCCTTGGAGCTTAGAACCTGGGTGTTTCACCCTATTATCTTATTGTTTAAACCAAAAAGGGAAATTTGAGATAATTACTCCGTCTTGAGAGTCAAGGATGTGGAACCCTGTCCGTTAGACGCCACCTGGGCACTACTTATCTATCTCTTCGCGTGATTTTAGCCTCTCACCACAGGAGGATCTTACCTCAGGTCATGGATCTTCAATCTCTACACCTAACACCCTAGCCTTACTATCTCTACGACCTAGCTGACTCGGATTGCATAGTCATGCCGACAAGTCTTGAAGGATTTTATCTAAAATCATAATATTCGGGTGTCGAGATGGACTTGAAAAGGAAATGCCAAGCTTCTGGAGCCCAAAGACGGCAAATCCCCAGATCCACTAAACCCCATCTGTCAGTCTCTCCGCACTCTACCCGTGGGCGATAGTCGATCATTACCCAATCAGACAACTTCGGGAGATAAGAGAAATACACCCCTTCCACAGTTTCCTCCGGTCCTCCACCTGGGCCATGCGGCGTCCACGGGTGTTTCCTAATCTTTCTTCTAGAATGCTTTTATCAGCGCGATTTGACATTCTAGGTTTGCACAAGATAACCTTACAAACATACTAACATTACTCAATAATATACTAATCGACGGAAGGGAAGATCCCTTTACTTTGTCAGCCCTTGCCTATGGGAAGGCTTCCCGACGGACCCCGTTCCTGTTGCGTGCGCTATGGGCCACAGGGATATGCGTGCAATACCATATGGCCGGAGCAATTTGCCCCACTGAGGCTTGTTCGCAACCTTTCACAATTTAGTTTCTCTAGCAATCACCTCGGTACGAAGTACGGAGTATAGTCTCTTAAACTTGGATAGGTCTCTTGGCTTGGGTGGTGAGAGAAAGGCAGACGACCTGTTGTGGATATTCTAGGAAGAACCGCCTCGGTAGGGTTCGCCGCTACCGCATGACATGAGCTCGGGTGGTCCCCTGGGATAAGGGATGGCGCCATGAAACTCTATGCTTAGGCGTTCTAAGCGAGAGTTTTCCCTCGGTCGTGGCGGTCTGCCACTGATATGCATGGAATAACGGGAGAAGCATACCAGAAAGCTAAGAGGGTGTGCTTGGGAGATACTATCATGTGGTGCTCATTAGAAACCCGTGTAATGATTGGCCTGGTGTCGGCGAGTTAAGCAAGACCCCTCGTATTTTCGCTGGGCAACATACAGAACACATCAATCTGTAAGGTCTGGTAGGTCCAAGATTATACCCTCGCATCCTAGGGTCCGCCAATAGACTTGCGTGGACCAATAGTCGGATTCGGGCATCCCTGTCATGTCAAAGATTAATCAAATTTGGTGACTTAGGTAACATTGACACGAATGTTGATATCTCAAAGTGTTCATAATCATAATCGTCTGGCATCCCAGCTCGAGAGAAGCTCTTCGGGGCAAAATCGAAATGCAAAAAAAGGACCCACAGCTCTTATCTTTCATGTCTGCAATGCGGGTCGGGCACATCAGCAGTTTCTTAACTAGGGCACCCCACAGCGTGAGACTTTGACCCGCGTAACCCGGTCAAATAATAAGGGGGCGAGACAAAAAAAAGACGCACCAGGGTTCTCGGCCTTGAGCTGAATTGAATTGATGCTTGACTATCAGCCACTTAAGCCTTCCCCAGTTGATGGCGCGCAGTAGCCAATTTTACTGGCCACGCTCCCGCGACAGATAGCCACGGTAACATCGGGGTGGATTGGCATTTGTGTTCCGGTGACTAGAGCAAAGGCTGATTACCTTTCATTGAAGGTTAGCAGCTGCGCCCGGACAATAGTCCGACGTATACGTTGTGCTCCGTACTGCAACCTACCTAAATAGGCGCCCATGTGAAATCCGTCGGTTAGATCTGTATTTTGTAGCACAAAGTTAGCTCTTCCGTGGACACACCCGTGGACCCTTTCATGGTTATTTGTTAGGTTACAAGGTTGTGGAATAGAAGTTAACGGGTAATACCCCGCAAAATGTCCTCTGTACGACGATCGGAGTACTCCGTAGCATTGTTGGCCATTTGAGGTCACTTAAGCCGAGGAAAACCCTCAAAAATGGATACATCCCGAGCCAAACAGCACGCGATACGCTTTGGGATTTTCGCCACCGCCACGGAATGGCCCGGCTACCCCAGGTTGGTTTACAAAAATACAACCATTATGCTCCGTCAATTCCAAGGTTGTTAATATTCTTTCTCGGTAGGTTAATAATTCCCGACAGCCAAGTCGGAGCTCCCCATTTAGGTGCATGAAGGACTTGGTATTTCATAGTTTGTCTCACTCCAAGACTTAACTAAAACAAACCACCGATAGACACGACTAGAATTAATCTATGAAAATAAACCTGGAGTCGACATTAGGTGCATATAAAATGTGGGGGTTGACAATCTGTTAGGTAACAGTTTCCACATAGTCTACTTTGAAGTCTGGGGAAACACGGCACAAGGAAACACCGATACTTTCAGCATGAAGGGATTCGAGGGGCGAGTGAATACTTAGTATTCGAATAATATCCATTATTATCCATAGACAGTTGGTACTGCATCTCCAGCCCGTTACTGGAAACCCGTGCGCATCGCGACCCCTTTTAATGTCCCTAGCCAAGACTGCCACTTTCCTGGGCAGCTTATCTTGCTTTAAATTGGCCACTGAAGGCTTCCTGCCACATGGATGTTATCGTGAGCTAGGGATAGCTCTTGGGTGCGAGTTCTATACAATAGCGCTAGTACCGGGCCGGTGTTTGTCCAGATCCACGGAGTACGTACTGCGTAGGGGCTTTATATCGAATAAAGCGCCCAGATGATCAGTGATCATCCTAATTAACTACTTGTTAAGTTTCGCCATGCTAGTACCGGGCCGGTGTATGTCCAGATCTAGGGAGTACGTAAGGGCTATATATATCGAATAAAGTACATCGGATGATCACGTCCTAATTAGCTACTTGTTAAGTTTAGCCACCATCATTAATCTCCACTAACAGCAGTTGGCTGACGAGCGATTTAACACGCTAATTGTGGGGTAGTTAAAGCGATTTGGAGTTCCTTTCGCTACATCGTGCATCATGATATCCACGAAAAATTGCCCGACCAACATGCAGCAGCAGCCTCTGCTCGTATTGATGGGATGAATAGCCGGTTGCAAACTGTAAATATCGCACGGAGACCGGTATTAGCCGTTGATACCCTGATTTCAGGTAGAGACGGCTTGTGGTTGGAGAGCTTATCTAGGATCCCTAGTTGCCCGAAGGTCTTTTGTGGGCTAGTTCCTGCATGCTGTACCCCGTATATCACTAGGCTGCAGTTGGCGTCCGTCAGACTATAGTGTGGAAGACACCCCTAGATTGTGACTAGTCATCACTGCGATGAATATCCCATTGAGGAAAGAACAGTTTCTCTTGGGTGTTGTTGGCAACATCTTCTTATCTTACTTCTACTACGCCCGGCTACGCGCTATCTAAGACACGGGATGAATGGGAGAGACGAAAAAAACGCTTGGCATAGAGGTTCATTCATTCAACGATTTTGTTCTATCTCGTTGCATTTGGTATCATTAATACACAAAGTTTTATTTTCGTCAGGTTAAGAACTGGGTATCCCAAGCTCATGAGCTTGCCACGGGGCCTTCACCACCGGGAATCAACTGACCGAGGAGTTAATAAAGCACCGAGATGGCCTCAAGGTGAAATCAACTTACCATGCAGATATTGTTTCCATTCAACAAGAGCTTAGGGAGCTTGATTTGGGCACCGGTGTAGTCGCTGAGAAAAAGTTAGTCCAAGACTCAATTACAAGAGTGACTTGTCGAGGATTTCGACAGAAATTTGCAAATTCAGATGGAGATCAACGAGCACTGCTCCAGGGGCGTAGGAGCCAAGGCAACCAAACATGGCCACAGAAGAAAAAAAAAGGGTAGCTCAAAGCTAGGAAATCAAAAAATCAAAGCACGTACAACTCTGTGACGTCTTCCATAACCATGTCTAAATCGAAATTAGTGCCTGATGAGATCGTCAAGCTTTTATACAGGGATACTCACTGACGTAGTCATCGAATCCGAGTAAGGTCCCAGAGAACTCTTCATAAGCATTAGTACGCTCGTTTTGTTTCATTATAAACCAGTGAATTTTAGCTGACCTTTGTCACCCTTCATGACAACCCAAATCCGGGAGCCAACACACTTATCAATGAGCTCTATCAAACGGGTTAGCGGGGTCATGGTTTTCTTGGGTCATTAGGCACGGACCGAGAGGAAGCAACTGAGAAGCCATGATGTCAGGTAGAAAATATCGTCACTGAATAAAAATTTTCTTGGTGAAGGTCTTGATTTAAAAACAAAGATGATCGAGCATTCCGCGTGGGCAAGATCGATATAGAAAAGGACGTGGATTGTTCGTCGCTCGGCACCTCTGATGATCCGGTCCGAGAAACTAAGCCAAATAAGGTTTAGAGGCAACTCTCAAAGTTGATTTACACGCTTGGAGCTCCGCAACATGGCTATCCTAACATTTAATTGACTTTCTAGATGCAGTTTTGTTGATTGCTAATAGAACTCACCCACCACCTATTGTCCATTGAATTGATCATATCCTATTGCTTCGTGGGGCTTCAGGCTAGTCCACTATGCTTGTTATACATTATGCCGCGGCCGAACCTTTCAGCAAGTCGGAGGACCCCATCTTCGATTGCAAAACATAGCGGTCACCTCAACAGATTCAAGTCCTATGGGTCACTTCGATGGGGCCTTTTTGACCAGCGGCAGTAAGCACGCTTTATTGTGTCTAGCTTCAACACATATTTTTCTAACTAAACTACAGTAGCCCCGATACTTGCGCCCGATCTGTCCCAAGACTCCGACATGCGTTTTTTCCGAATATAAGCTCCTCGTACATCCCGGTCGTGACCTCCCAATCAAAGCGGAACTTTTCCAACAGCACTCGCAAGGAAGGCATATGGGATGACGACGATGAAGTCCCAGAGCCAAAACCCGTGCAGCGAATTCCAGGGCGGCCGGCCTTTGTCCGCCCTACCAGACATCGAGACTTAGGCAGCTTGGTTCGATCGAGAGTAGACGGGAAAAATAGAGTCGTTCAACGTCTGCGCATCGAGAAGGAGTTCAATTCCCTGCCTTCACATCAAGAACTTGTTGAGAGTTTTATCCAAATGAAGTACAAATATGTTGATGACCTTCTTGATGAATCCATCAAGACCAACTTAGCCTATGAATCCGAATATTCAGCTCTCTCGTCAATATTTCAAAAGCGAATCAACGATGTGGTCTCACGGATAACAAAACAAGTTCTCCATGCCGAAAAGACCACCCAAGAATGTGTGACTGAATTGGAAGGTCTGTCAAGCTTCATCAGCGCGCACATTGTAAATGTGGTGTCGGACAGCACGAAAAAAGTCCTACAAGCAGAGAAGATTACTCAAAAGTATATCGCTGAAGTGATACATCTATCATATTCCATTCTGGGATTGGACCGAATACAGGCCGCTGTCACGAAAGCAGAGCATACCGCTCGAATTATTGATCATGATTTCTGCTGCATTGTTTTTGGTAGAACTCCAGAGTGGGAAAGAAAGCTAGAAATATCTGCCAAGGAGATCCATGGTTGGAAGAAGTCTCTTCGTGCGGCTCAAAAAACACTCCTACCAGCTCTGGTCGACATTTCTGAGCTATCTATCTGTCAGTTGAGAGACACTCTCGACAATGATTACCTACATCCTCGGAATACCACAAGGAGTCGAATTGATAGAATTCTCCACGAAACCGAAGTGATTCAGAAGAAGTACAACGAGTTGAAACTGAAACGCCGTAACACACAAATTTTCCCCGTCAGGGACCTTTGCTTAGAGCTTGAAAAAGGCTCGAACCTCCCCCAAACGATAAATGGGTGTTTGGCCAGTACAAAGAAATCCTTGAGCGTAGTGAACGCGAGCTCAGTGAATGTGCGCATTATCATCGTGCATTCTGGCTTAGAAGGCAAGAGGCTTTGCATCCACTTCGACGAAGTGAACTTTGGAATTTGAAGGATGTCATGGCCGCAGCTTCATCTGCACGTTCTTACAAGGCTACTGACAAGCAAGTCTTACTTGGGCTTGCACTTGGCGCCCGAAAGGACTCACCGGCAAGTCAGTACTTACACAGCAATTCGCTCATGATATCCAACAAGATACGTCTCATATACAAGCGTCTTTGGATGCCAAAACCTGCACGCAGCCCTGAGCTAAATATCTACTGGAGACAGCTGGATGTAATGGCACCACTGATCATGGCCGATGTTCTCACGTGGGGGCTTCAAAATGAAGTTTGGTACCTCCACCGCAGCCTCAGAGGTGATCTTGGAACATTGTGGACTTGGGTCCCCGAGGAGACTATGGAGCATACTGTTCTAAAAATAGCCGACTGGTGCATAGAATTCCAGAAACATCGCAGCGAGCTTCGACAAATGATATCTGAATACAGACATCTAAACTGGCTGCGTCTTCAATCAGAAACATTGCTACACTCAATGGGACAACGTGTCTATCTTGCTGGAAGGTTTGAAGTCCTCAATCCGATGAGCCAGGATGTCCGTTCTTTCAAGAAATGGACCGCCCGCATGGGCCGGCTCACTTCGGACGCTTATATCCCCATAATGGCCATCCGGCAGACGCGAACGGATTGGCAGATTATCCACGACAAGATCAATCGCCAGACCGGGCAGGCTTCTTCCTTTATCCCTCACCTTTTAGAACTGGGTTCTTCGACGGATAAGACGTGGCCACAGGAGGGACGAGAGGAATCCGAATCTCCCGAGGCCAAGGCCGCTTTTATCGAATTATCCCAAACCCGTCTTTCAAGATATATGAAAGGAAAATTGGCAGGCCATTCCGAGTCTTCACTTGCCAGTCAGGGCAATCATGAGCCCGGTCAGGCTATGATACCCACGAAAGGTTCCTTGGGAAGGATAAGGCAGATACTGAAGAGGAAAGTTGGGCTTCAGCATGCAGCCGAGTCAGTTACTCACCAAGGTAGTCAAGAGGACACCGGCCTCGAACACAACCTATCTCCGAATCCCTCGACAATAAAAGTCGAGGACCACACAACAGTGGGCTCGCTTGTATCCAAACCACTCCCCGTCAATGCGCCTGCCGGTCAGGACAATCAACAGGACAGTCAGCTCATTTACAAGCAGTCACCCAAACCTTGGGGGAGAAAATCGAGCCTCAACGCGCCTGAGCCCAACCCATTCTCAGTCAATGCGCCTGCTAGGCAGACAAACCAGGAAGGGAGTCAGGTTCTTCCCAAGCCACCACCTGTACTCTCGAAGAGCAAAGAGGTGAGCCGCAGCTCGGAGCCACATCTTGATGACCTTTCTCGACCAATTCCAAGAGAAGCCAGTAGTGCATCCCCAATCACACGGACATACAACGGACTACGGCCGGCAACCATGCTGCCGAGGAAACCATTCCCTAAACCGAATCCAAACGGTGAGAGAAAGTATAGTACGGATGCAACTTCCCACCAAACACAATTTCAACAAAGCGGTGGTGTCAGCAATGATTCCCTGCCTGAGCGGCTAATTGAAACCGACATTTCCTCGGTCCCAGATACCACGACCGGACATCAGGCAGGATCCATTGAAGAAGACGACTCCACAGATGAACCAATGCCATCTTCATCGCCCCAGTTTTGGAGCCATAGTTCACAGCACAGCCCCGACGGCCGGAAACTTATCGTGCATTATTGCCGGACCCTTCAAAGTACCGAAGAAGCCGTGCAACACTTCTTCGGGAGCAAAGTCATTGGATTCGACATGGAATGGAAGGCTCAAGCATCCGGCTGGGATAGCATTCAGAGCAATGTCTCGGTGATCCAAATCGCAAACGAGGAGCGTATCGCCATCTTCCAGGTTGCGCTTTTCAAGCCTGCACGTTCTCTGGAGGACTTGGTTTCCCCATCACTGAAACGCCTCATTGAATCTCCCGATGTCATGAAAGTGGGCGTTTCAATCAAGGCAGACTGCACCCGGCTACGCAAGTATCTCGGCATCGATGCCAAAGCCACCTTCGAGCTCAGCCATTTGTACAAGTTGATCAAATACGGCAAAGATAATCCCAAATTGGTGAACAAGAGGGGCGTCAATCTCAGCGAGCAAATAAATGAGCATTTCGGTCTTCCTCTCGAGAAAAGTGATGATGTCCGCTGCGGTGATTGGACTCGGGCTTTGAGTTATCGTCAGGTTCAATGTGAGTACTTAGAGACCTCCACAACCTCTCTCCTGATCCTGGTATGCTAATCTTGTCTTTTTTTCTCTAGATGCTGCTACGGACCCGTATGCTTGTGTTCGTCTGTTCCATACCATGGACGCGAAAAGGCAAGCCATGAACCCAATGCCGCCTCGTCCTGCGTTCGCTGAACTCAACCAACCCATTGTTCTTCCACTTGGACAGGCAGTCAACAGCGAAGAGGACCCAGCGGTCTGATCATGTAGATATGCATATATGTAATTACATTTGGCCTTTTCAAAATACCCCCACTCTTTTTGTTTTGCACAACTTTTGGAGCATATGTTCGTAAACTCGATCGGAGATGTCTTCTGGTTTTTGTCTTTTTTTTTTTCTCTTTCGGTGTGGTATTTTCTACACTGTGCCGATGAATGTATATTAATCGGCTGGCCTATATCAAGGTTCAATCGAACCTTACAGTCCATGAAAAATCATGTTCGAATAAAATAGAAGAAAGGGGGTATATATTTATCCAAAATAAGTGTATACATATGTATCGGTAGTGCCAATCTCTTCAACAATATACATGAAGACCATGAAGCACCAGCCTGAACCTTATCGCCTCAATTAATCACATAGCTACCCTCTCAGAGGAAGCACCTTAGACAGTAAGACCTCCTGTCGGCAGAGCGGGCACTCGGGCTTTTCACGAACCCAGTCCCGAACACAAATCCAGCAAAACACATGTCCACAGGTCGTTACACTAGGGTCCTTGAACATTTCCAGGCACAAAGTACACTTCCGCTGCTGACCCTCGGGGATCCACGAGACAGCACCAGGATCCTCCTCGAGATCATACAGAGGCACCGACGCAGGAAGAAGCGGGATGGAAGACGGGTTTTGAATTGAAGTGAGAACAGCCCCACCCTGCCCAGGAGACTGGCTAGCATCCGCAGACAAGCTCTCATCTTCGTTCATGCTCGCGGCAAGTTTGCGAGCGTGCAGGAATCCCCTGCACGGCGATCTGGAGAACAAGCAACACGCCCAGAACCTCATATCCGATGCGCTGCTCATTGTCCTCGATCTTCTTTGTGAAAACGTAACGCAGACTCCAAAGTCGCTTGGAGAGATGGTAGTACGAGCCGGTGAAATAGAAAGTTGCAATGCTCAGTGCATAAATAGGCGACAACGATGTGATGGAGTCCAGGTGTTCAAGGATATACTGCTGGATGCGCAGTTTCGTAAACAACGGCCGTTTAGTCGGGGTTGTTGAGAACTGCGGCTTGTTGAGCAGGCCAGCCTGCTGCGCCGCTCGTAACTGCTGGCGTGCAATGTTGCGTTCGAGCTTGTTGCGGATTCTCTGTCGTAGCGCGGGTAGTAGTCGCTGCAGTGCCCATGGTACTAGGATGCTACTTAAGATGTACCCGACGCGACGGCCGATTGATGGTAATTGGAGGGTGTCATCTTCTAGTTGTACGAGGTCGCAGTATTCTTCGCCTAGGGTGCGGTTGCCGATGGCGGTTGTTAGGGAGAAGTAGAGGAGTTCTGTGAGATGTTTTATGGCGTCGGAATGGGTGTGGGCGTATCGGGCGCCGCGGAGAGCCCGGACGATGCCTTGCGATTGTTGAATCAGGCTGCCTGTAAGAAATGCATCCTTTTCATGCGAGCGGATGATATCTGGTGAGGTTGCGAAGGGGTAGAAGTGTGAGGTGGATGAACCGAGGGCTGAGTTCGAGTTCGGGGTTGATAGAGAGAGATGGGAGTCGTCGTCCGCCATGACAGATTGTAGGGGTGTATGTTGATAGGGATATGGATTAAGCTTGATAATAGCAGTAGATGGTATTTTCTAGCTCAGTGCATTCCCTCAGACGAGTCACAAGCTCAATTCCCCAGGTTTCATACCTAGAGATAACAATTTCCCCGGAGTTGTCCTCGGATGTCATGCCTCGGTATAGAAACACATCATGTGACTTGGCTGACCTAAGTCACCTGATGGATAAATTAATTACAACAGTACGACATTACGTCAGTTGTTACACCCACCATACAATAATTACCAAATTACCATACGGACGCAAGCGTCCCACATGTGGTACTTGGAAGGTACCTGGACCTGAGGGAGATGAAAGCGGGAGGCTTGCAGTGGCTCAATGTACCTGATTTGGTACCCCCCTTTTCGTGAAAGGGGAGATTCCAATGTTCGAATGTTCAAACTTGATATATTCAAATGTTCGTGTACAAAGTCAAGAGTACCAGGGCTCTCAAAGAACCCATTTTGACTTTATGATGACATACATTGTGATGAACAACGTAATTAGTTCCAATGGGGTTTTGATCTTCCTCCTTCTCCTGAGATGTGCTTCTAATTAATTCTAATTATACCCATTTTTATAACCCAATTCGACCCTGTGGGGTTCCAGACCGGACTGTGACTAGTCCAGGTGCGTATTTCTCCAGGGCGTCAGGGCTCCAGAGGGCTTCAGAGGGCTCCAGGGCTCTCCGCTCCGCTTATTAAACTGCTTCAAAAGTTTCAACTTCCAAAGACGTCGACTCACCCCTAGTCATTCTTTTCTTTTTGGTATAAGGGGGTCTTTGTTACTTTCAGCCTTCTCTTTTTTTTCCTGTGATCTTCCCTTTTCCCCTTGATCAATGGAATAATGGCGGTTGATCAACATGCTCAATTGGATGCCTTTGGGCTGATCTTCCCATTGCCGCTACGTATAGCTGCTATCTTGGTCGCTGGTAGGTGACGTGCCTATCCGATGGGAATTAAATCCCAATCAGGTGTGTGCTAACACAAGGGGCTAGGTTTCTGGGGATGGGGTATCAACCTTCAATACCTGGCTAAAGCCAACATTGTAAGTGGCGCCCCTCACCTAACTATCGTATTCCCGACGGCTAATCAGATTTCCCATACTTCCAGGACGTTCCGGCGCTCATCAAATATCCTGCCCGCACATCCTCCTCCCAACGCCCACATCACACCGCCGTCTATCGCCTGGCCACATGTTTCACCATCCCACTTGCCCTATGGTTCATCGTCTTTTGGCTAGCCACCCGCCGGTCCCCTGAACTGGTAGAGCGACTGGACTGGATCCCACAGTCCGTGTTCATTATCCTCCTCCTGATTCTGATCTGGCCTTTCAACCGCGCCTCCCGTTCCGGCCGCATCCGATTTCTCCTTACCCTCAAGCGGATCAGTATTGGTGGTCTGGCCGAGTCCCAGGATGGCAAGTTTGGGGACATTCTGCTGGCAGATGCCCTAACTAGCTATGCTCGCGTGATCGGAGATCTGTATATCAGTTTCTGCATGTTCTTCACCGATGGCTTCGCCGCTACCTCCAAGCCCAACCGGGCCTGTGGAAGTGAAATTGTCGTTCCGATCATCCTCGCCGTTCCCAGTTTGATTCGTCTTCGTCAGTGTTTGACGGAATATGTTCGTGCGCGGCGGACAGTCACGCGGAGAGAGGCGCACAAGGTCAACCAGCACTTGGCCAACGCTCTCAAATACGCAACTGCGTTCCCTGTCATTTGGATCGCCTCCAAGATGCGCAACTATAATCCCTTGGAGCTTCATGGATATAGCGAGGTTAGCATGATGCGCATTCTGTAAGATTGTATCCCTGATCTGTTATGTCTATACCACTCTCTAATACCCCACAGATTTATCGTCTCTTTTATCAACTCTGCCTACTCTTTCTGGTGGGATGTTGTCAAGGATTGGGATATGACTCTCTTCTCCCCGAACGTCGCGACAGCACCCACCCATACGGACTCCGCCGACATCGCTACTTCGCATCCGACAAAATGTACCACTACGTCATTATCGCAGATCTGGCCCTTCGTTTCTCATGGCTATGGCGCATCATCCCAGGCCTCGGCTGGATCCCGGAAACCGAATGCGGATTATGGTTGCTCATGTTCCTCGAAGTTGTACGACGATGGATGTGGGTGTTCTTCCGGACTGAAGCTGAATGGAGTATGTTTTCCCCCTGTGCACCCGCAATCCCCCTGATCCCAACAGTGTGACCCATCCACCGATATCCTGGTTTTTCGGACATTTCCACTTACGCTTTTGTACCCTAGTTCGAAATACCCATGGTCCAGGCCCAGACGATGTCCTCCTTGGTGAATACAACCACAAATTCGACGCGGACTAAATTCACCTATGGCTTTTTTCATCTTTGATCATACCTTCAAGCAATGACACAGAAAAACTCCCCCTCTCAACCCAACACAACGGTTGAGTCTTCGGGCATATTCTGCTCCCCACCCCCTAACCAAACTCCGGATATCCCTACCCAATCCAATGCTAGAGCAGCGATAGATGAGGCTTGAGCTTGACTCTCGTTCTTTTTTTTTTGTTTTGTTTCCGGCGTGTGTGAAATCATTATCATCACACGCCCTTGTACGCCTATTGTTTTCTTTTGGGAGGCTCAATTCAGCTATGTGTGTGTAACCACATGCACAATGATTTCTTAGATTCCTTTGGACTTGGATCTCTGGGCCTGCGGCAAGCATGTCTTCCTTTCTTTCTCTCGATTCCTGTTTACTCTTCACTGTACCAATACTTACCTAGGGTCAACCTGGTCTGACGTCTGCATCTACCCTGCCTTTGTTTCCCTCTTTACATATACCATTATCCTATTGGATCGCAATCCTGGTCTTTTATTTCTTTTTCCTTCGTTTCTTCTTGGCGCTCAGCTGTCGGGAGATCTAATTGGGTGTTAGTGTGTTAGATTAATGACCTTTCTTGGGGGTTTGGTGATTGACGAACCTAATGATTGAAGACTTGAATTCAGTTGATAGACACATTGATATTCTATTAGACGATAACAAGTAGCTTTGTTACTAGCAGAAAGTTGAAGCCGTAGGAAGTCTGTTGCATTATCTTGCGAACTTCCTGGGCCGGCCGTGTTATAAACTCACAACCGACTACATGAGCATGTGTGAAATAGGCCCAGTAGAAGTTATAATCTTAATAATTTGAAGAAGAGGCATAAGCTACGAACATTGGTCTAAAGAAAATAGTCCATTGACTTCTAAAAAATAACATGACAAAGACAGACTCGTTGACTTCGTGCAAATATCCTCCCTGCGCAAGACGAGACATAAGAAATAGAAGCACAACCGTAGACAAATATCGGAATATTATCCAGGCGGACCAGCCAAATAGGCCTCTGACCTATCCATGCTTCTCTTCCGCTGCCATCTCCTGCCTTTTTCTTCCACAACCATTCATGAAATTCAGCGTCACCTCACTTCACCTCATGTCACTCATGTCATACATGCTTGTTAAACATTTGAATATGTTCACAGTAGAACAACATCCACATATTGCCGCGCCCTTGTATATAACGTCATGCTAGTCCGAGGGGGGCTGATATGGACCCCCAGAGAAGCAGATGAGGGCTAGGATTGCTCATCAATCCTTCAAAGGTCCTTCTTGATGATGTGGGCCTTGGGAAGGGTGCCAGCGCGGTCAATGGCGCTCTGGCGAGCTCCAGCAAGACCGTGCTGAGTGGCGATGCCTTCAATACGGTGAGTGGAGTTGATGTTCTTAACAAGGGTAAGCTGCCAGCAGGTGGCACCACCCTGGCGGGAAGTGATAGTGGAGGAAGCAAGGAAGTACTCCCAGATCTAAAAAAAAGTAGTTGTTAGTAAAAAGAGAAGGCGAATCAACCTCGGTGAAAGAAACTTACGCGGAACCAGCGCTTTCCGTACTTGGCCTCGACCTTGTCGCGGTTGCCCATCCAGTTCCGGTACCAGCGCCAGAGGGTAGCAGAGTAGTGCACACCAATGGTGTCAACAGCCTTGACCTCAAAGCCAGCGCCCTCGAGGCGGTCAACAACGAAACCGAGAGGAGTACTGGCGTCAGCACCGGGGAAGACGTATTTGTTCATGAAAAGACCCCAGATCAGGTCCTCGTATTGCCAGGACTTGCGGAGACCAGCGATCTGCAGGAAGAAAGTACCGTTGTCGTCAAGCATGTCGTAAACCTGAGTCAAGAAAGAAGACAAGTGGCGGACACCGACGTGCTCAGCCATCTCGAGACAAGTGATGTGTTGGTATCCACCTTCAACACGGGGGGGCATCGCGGTAGTCACTGCAAATGATGCGGCTCTGGTCCTCCTCGATTCCAGCCTTGCGAAGGCCATTGTTACCCCATGCGGTTTGGTTGCGGCCAAGAGTGATACCAGTAACGTGAGCGCCGTAGTGGGCCGAGGCGTACTTAGCAAGAGTTCCCCAGCCGCAGCCAAGATCGAGGACCTTGTCACCGGGCTTAACACCAATCTTCTCGCAAACAATGGCCAGCTTGTTGTCCTGGAGCTCCTCGAGGGTCTCCTCCTTGTTGATATCACTGATAACACCGGAGGTGTAGATCATGCGTGGGCCAAGGAACCAAGCGTAGAAGTCGTCACCTCGGTCGTAGTGATCACGGACTTGCTCCTCATCTAGAAACATGGTTAGAATTGCCATTGCCGCCGGAAGTGTACGAAGACTTGCTTACCCTGAGAACGAGTGTGCATCAGCATCTCGGGGATGAAGCCAAACAGGAAGTGCTTGAAGAGACCAGTGGTGAACTTGAAGTTGGCCCAATCATGACGGTACTCGAGGCACTCCAGAGCATCACCCTTGAAGTCAACCTCGCCATTGAAGTACTTCTCGTAGAAGACCTCCATGGGGATCTTGCTCTTGCCGCGGTAGGTAGCACGATCGTGCTCGCTGTGAAACTGCAGGTAGTGCTCGACGGGGCGGCCGCAGTACTTGGCCTTCTCAGTCTTGCGAGGAGAAACAGAGGAAGAGACAGCCCAGAAGGCCACCAGGACGGGAACGGAGGTGAAGAGAGCAAAGAAGATGGTGGTGTAGAAACCCCCACCAACCTGGCGAGCCAACCACCAGGGCACAATGACCTCCAGAGCGATCATCAAGCCATTGGAGAAGCTGTCGCTGCCGGGTGAATCGGCGGGAACGGGAGCATTTTTAATAGTCGGGTACTGGATAGTAGAAGAAGCAAATTAGGTACTGGGCTCATCAAACAACCGTCACGGATAGCTCTAGCTGTGGACTTACCAAGGTAGTCGGGACACCGCAGTCGAAGGCAGGCTTGGTCTGCTCGGGGGCAGCCGGAGTCTGGATATATTCGAACTCCTCGGTGGAGTCCGGATGAATGGTCGTCATGGCGGCGAAGCGTCAATTGAGAGGAATGGGAAAGGAAAAGGAGAGGCCAGAGAGTAAATAAGAAGGTATGGGCAATTCCGGGGGCGGTGTGGGCTAGACCAAGGTACCTGGAAAGTACGTGATTGGTACTTTCCATTCCACGGGCGGGCTAGCTGAGGACCTGGTACCCGCCAGGTACACCGAGTTTACTCTATTCTCCTGGCCTGACGTACGATGTGAAACTATTATTATTGCAGGGATTCATGTAGCTAGAGGCTAGTGGATTTTATCTTATCCATTTTTTTAATGAACAGCCCTATGCATCGCCCAGCCATTGGCATTGAATGACCGAGGTTTCACACTTCCCAAGAACTTGGAACAGCCTACGTGGTCCCTAACGGAAATAAAATGCAAGTGTGTCCTCGCCTGTCTGTGGCTTGGCGAAGGATCATCATAGGAGTGGGGAACGCCTGAAACAGTATGATCCGCGGTTGACCGTGGAAGGGCTGCAACCTATCCAGTTACAAGTACATTATTAACGCTATTCCATGACGCCGGGATCCATCGGCTTGTAGCCCCTGTGAGCCAATGCCGATCTCCATGTGCCGAATCAATAACCATACTGAAGTAAAATTGTAATCCTCTTTCGAGGCTGAGTATCTTGCGCAATGCCCCCCCTACAGAGTGAGCTGGAAGCTCTGGGCCTCATCATCTTCGTCAAATGTGGGTAGTGGCTCTTCCGGTTCCCGATTGATCTCATCCGGGGCATCAAAACATCCAGCAGCTTTGCAACGAGTCCACATTTCCGAGTCCAGCGGAGGGGGTCCATACAGCTGCATATAAGTTTCGGGAGACAGAACCTCAGAGCTCAAGGACTTCTGCGTTTGGGAATGCTTCTCCCGCAGGGTGGACGACACACTGCGTCCCTTGGAATAGCCAACGGTCGTCCGAGAGTTGACTGAAGCAGCAGTGTTGCGCATGGAAGAGGGGTTAGACGGGACCCTGGCCTGTCTTTTGGGCATAACCAGCGACGATGCCAACGACGCCACGCGTGGTTTGGGGGCTGGAGCCACTCGAGGTGCAGTGGTTAGCTGGGATCCGCTGAGCGCAGCGGCAGCATCTCGAGCTCGAAGCGTGGACACACTGCGAGTGTGTCGTGTGGTAGTTGTAGGTCTCTTTGCCGGGAGGGCAGTTGGCTGCAGTGCATTTGCGGACTCGCTCTCACCCGAGCTCTCGAAACCAATGTCCTCAAGTTGTTTCATAATCATATCATCCACCATCCTGTCGCACGCCGCCGAATCCTCCTTGAACTTGCGCTGCTTCGCCGTGAGTCCATCCCTGCCAACTTGTTGCTTGCCGTAGACACTCTCCAACCCCAGAGCTCGATTCTTCGGTCGGAATTGGGGGAATGTAGTGTCATATGTCACATCGTCTGGAAGGTCCGGAAGATCTGTAGCTCGTCAGAAATAAGCTTTCAGGGTTGCAGCTTTAGTTGTTCTTAGCGTACCTCTAGGCTTTGGCGGCATGTATTCAATATCCGGTACATCATCCGTAGCCGCGTCAATGTGGACTTTCGTTTGAGCTTGCTGTGCCACTGGAGCAGCTTTTCTGATCTTCTGAGCAGTCGACTGTCTGCGGTTTGTCTTCAGTTGCTTGGTGGTTCCCCCAAAGGGCGCAGGCGTCTGGAGGTTGTTGGCTTTGAGGTTGGTCGTTTTCATGCCCAGGGGAGCGCGATCCTTCACTATAAGCGAAAAAAAAACAGTCAGTCACTATCCAGCGGTCATCTCCAAATCTCTAATTTTTGCGAAGCACGCGTACCCATCGGAGTCATAAACGCGTTGTTTCCCGGTTTTCCATTGTCCTGACGATTCCCATTGCCCTTCACGGTGCGATTTCCGAATGCCAACGGGTTGTTCTCGTCATTTCGTGGCTTGCCGGGTGTCTTGGGTGCTAGCTGCTTGCTTTGGTTCAAGGGGCTTAGCTGCCGCGGCGGTCTGGTGGGTGTTTACCAGGTTTTCCTGGTCGCGAAGAGCCAACATAGTGGCGAAGTGAAGCTGACGATTCTCATGCACCGTATCAGAGAAATCAAAGTCGCGTTATCGGGTTGAGAGTGATAAAGAGCCAGAACGAGTTCTAGATGCAGGTGTTGTCGAGTGGTTGCCCGTGGAGACGCGGCGATCCTTGGGCGGTGATTGGCGTAGAGCAAAAGCGGATTGTGTACCTAACCATACCACGGTTACGCAGTTGGTACACAGTAAGTATACGGTACTTCCCCTGTAGTGGAGCTAGTGCTTGTTGTCCTGGTACTGTCTACTTGTTCACTTGTCAGCCTTTATTCCTCCCCTTCTCTCCCAAATCTCTCCCCCATTATCATCTTCCACATCCCCATCAAACACTCGCCCGGTTTCTCGCTGAGCGAAAGCCTTACTCTACTCTCTCTTTCAACCATACATATTATTTCCCTTACTCCCTTTTCAATACCTTTAAAATGGACAAGATCAAGGAGGTAAGTCACCAAGACCCCTACCCGGCGGGGTAGCTTGACTGCTTCCCAAAATCACACAGCCCCTCGTCATATGCATATATGCATACCGCCCCAGCATTCCATCACTTCCACACTGGGAATTTCACTAACCTGTTTGGTATTAATTTTAGCGCATGGTCGCCCTCCGCGCCGAGGCTGATGAGGCTCACGAGCTCGTCGATGAGCTCAAGGCCAAGGTCAAGACGTTGGAACAGGAGAATTTGTCAAAGGAACAAGAGATCACATCGCTCAACCACCGCAACCAGCTTCTAGAGGAAGAGGTTGAGAAGGCAGAGACCGCCCTCAAGGAGGCTAAGGACGCTGCCAGCCAGAGCCTCCAGCACGACACTCAGAACGAGGCCCTTCAGCGACGGGTGCAGCTCCTCGAGGAGGAGGCTGAGGAGAATGACAAGACTCTGCGGGAAACAAACGAGAAGTACGACCACCTACCATTTCTTTCACAGTTAAGTACTGACATCTTGGGCACTCAGGCTCCGCCAAACCGACATCAAGGCTGGTCACTACGAGCGGAAGGTGCAGGCACTCGAGGACCAACACGCCAAGCTGGAGCAAAGATATGAGGATGCGATCAAGGAGCACAGCACTGTGAAGAAGGAGCTTGACGATCTTGCATCCCAGATGGCTGACATCTAAGCTGGCCCAAACCGGTGAAGGGTGCAGGATATCGGGAAATATTTGGTTGGATACAAGCTTCATTCTCTGGTTTGTCGTCTGCTTTTTCATGCGGTGACTGTTTGTGTTAGGGTGGTCCCAACTATATGGGCCACATACAGCGCTTTTGATAGCAATAACTTTTATCATGCAACGTGTGCACTACGGTGTCTACCATTTCCTGCATCTTCATTGCAATGTTCCATAATGTCAGACGCCTGTGATCCGTAAAATTTACTAACGAATAATTGCTTGAAGTCGAGTATATGCACATGTGATGTCGTATCTGTTTCAAGATGTGGTTTCTTCATTCCTCTGCACCTTTCCGTGCCTTTGCCCTCTTCGCTTTCGCCGACCGTTGCTTTAACATCGTTTGTCTGCGCTCAACCTTGGTCTCGTAGCGGAAGTTCCTCTTCTTTTTCCTGGCTGCTTCTGAGGCTGCACTCCGAGGCTTTCTCTTCTTGGTTTTTGTATCAGCCTCCGTTGACTCGGTCGGATATTTTTTCTCTTCTTCATTCTCTGATTCCTCTCCCTTGGCAGCCTTGAGCAGACCCTCACGGGATGCATCCATTTCTTCAACCGTGACTGTTGTGTATTTGTCCTCGTCGACATATTCAGCTTCGTAGTCCACTGCTGGAGGCTCCTCGATTCCCTCCCAATCTTCCTCCTCTTTCTCGTCTTCCATTTCGCTGAGATCTCCAGCATCCTCCTTCATGCGCTTGAGTACCGCTTTGTGCTCCGCCATTGCCTGTTCGAAGTCTTTTTGCGCTCCTCTCGAATCTAGTAAAGTTAGTGGATGTCTTTGCGCGCAAATTGAAGCCTGCCGAACCTTTTTCCTTGCGTCTCTCTTCTCCTCTTTGTATCTCTTGACGGCATTCTCTTGCGCATGCTTAGCGCGTTGCACCTTGCGTTTGTGAAACCCAGTCAGCCATTCCTGGCGAGACTCGCTGTCGAAATTGACCTCTTCAACTTTAGGCCCGGCAACAATTTTGCGCTTTTTAAAATCCTTGGGACCCATGATGAATAAAAATCCCAATCCCAAGTATATTTGAACCAAATAACAAGTAGACCTTTGTATATCGTAGGTTGTGTTGAAACTGCGGCAAAAGCCAAGGAAAAAAAAGTTGATATGGAAAGCTCAGGCGGGTCGGGGCTCTCGACCGCCTCCGAGAGCCAAGTCGGACACCTCCCGTTGGCAACATCATCGCCAACCTAACCCCATCCCCACGATAAACACAATGCATTTCAGCAGGTTCGGGCTATTAGCCCTTGGAGCTGCTGCCGTAAATGCTTTCAGAGATACTTCGCCATTCTTCCTGGCCTCAACTTCTGAGTATGCTTGATTGAACCTCTCCCACTGCAGTCAACTAACCGCTCCTCCCCTAGGGTCCTGACGAACTCCGCCTACATCCAGACAGGAGCTTCGGTCCTCGAGAACCTTTCCTCGTCTCTTAGCACCTGTCCCTCGGATTACTATGTTGTCGTCTATCAGCCTGGTGTACACAGTTCCGACTTCTCGACGCGGAAGTCGGCACCCCGCTTGGGTGCGAAGATGCTCGGAAAGGACAGCTCGATCCGGTCCAAGATGAGCATCAACGAGGTCGCTGGCTTGGTGGAACCCAAGGAGATCAAAAATCTTTTGGAGAAGAAGTGCAACGCCCAGACTACCGCCGTCGACGCCTCCTGTAAGTTGTTTTGGTGGCCAACGACAGCCTTAGCAAACCCGCGAAGAACGTCAACGCTAACAATGTGAAGCCGGGTCGTACCCCTCATACTTTGAGCAGGGTCCCCGAATTATTGATGTCGAATTCCCCATGTTATCGCTGAACTCGGATCGCGCACAGCAACTATCTACATTCGGTATGTATGCCGCACACCTATGCACGTCATTGTTACTGACTCTGCTAGATGGTTTCCTTGCCGATGTCATTGACCGACTTCCTTCCTCATCCACGTATACTATTCTCTACATCACCTCCCCTAGAGAGTTCCCCGAGACGGATTCTGTTGTCTACGAAGCCTTTGGAGATTCATACCAAGACTCGCTCCACATGGAGCTAAAGCGGGATTACTCCGCGTATGGCAGTGCCTCGAGCTCATCGAGTAATTCCACTTCTCTTTTTGAAGAGTACCAATACTTTACTCCAGGTATGTGTCTAGCAATCCCACCTCTCTATTCGCTATACTCACCCTCTTCCAGGTATTTTCATGGGGCTCATGGCTACCTTCCTGTTCCTTGCAATCTTGTATATTGGCATTAATGCCCTGGGGAGCCTCGAAATTCCCTATGCCGCATTTGAGAAGGACACCTCGGCTGCTGTGCAAAAGAAAGCGCAGTGATTTGCAGCGCTTTGTTGTTGCAATACACCTCCATTGCTGCAATTGATTCTCTTTTTTTATTGGGGGTTCAGGGACAATTATCTCGTATCCCCATGTATGATATCTCATATTCTCCCAGTTTTTCGAATGTTAGATTTGCCAACGTAAATGTGCAAAGTCCTTGTATCTTTTTTTGGAAGCTGTCAGGTGACGGTCTCAGTTTTGCCTAAGGCACCCCTCTTCCTTAGCGCTGGCGTCTTTTGGTTTCTTCCAATTCTCGGTTAAGGAGACCCTGTCTTGTGGTCATCTTTAGACACTAGTTGGTCTCATTTGAGCAGCAGTCATTCGTTTATGAGAGATTTCCAAGCCCTCACCTCGTAGGGACACTCGTTGATTGTGGATCCGTGACCTGCAGCCTGATTTCAGCATCTGCCAATCTGTCACAAGAGACAAGTCGCAGTTATCTTTGAAATCAGCGGAGATATTACCCCTGACACCCAGATTTCATTGATGAGCTGACCAAGATCGATAATCTTCTTTGTTCCTCGCTGTCGCTGGGATCGGCGCCTACTCCAAGTGACCCGCACACTGTGGAGAAGCAGCTGATCGATTGTTTACGTCGCCATGCGAGTTCTACCGCAAGGGCTTGGGAAAACCAAGCCATCATTCCTCCTATTACTATTTCTGGTCATTGCCATCGCTGCTCAAGTGTCTGCCGTACCGGCGGACGATGCAACAACGGATACCGATGCCGCTAAGACCACCGACGATCCCTCCACCACTCAAAGTACCTCTAGCGTGAGCGAGACCACCACATCTTCCACTTCTACATCGACGTCAAGTTCTACTACCAGCACCTCCTCCTCCTCTTCTTCTACAAGCACAACCATGGATACAACCACCACATCGTCCTCCTCTTCCTCCACGACGTCCGACAGCAGTACAACAACATCTTCCGTCTCCACGACAACGGAATCATCAACATCTTCCTCTTCGTCCTCAACCACAACTACCGGCGCTATTGTGACGATACCACCAACAGCCAACGCCCCATACATGCAAGAGAGCAATGCTCCAGAAGGCACAGTGTTCATCGCCGTCGGCGCGGCGCTAGGCCTGATCGGCTTAACTCTTCTCGCATGGCGCGCAATGGTCGCATGGTCCGTAAACCGCTCAGTTCGACGCGCCGCTGTGATACACGCATCGCAATCGAAGCGCCTCTTACGCGGCAGCAGAAAGAAGCGATCAACCCACTATTCCGCCGCCCCGGCGGTCGACGTATCTCTCCATAAACTTGGCACTACCACTCGCACAAGCTACAAGCCCAATCGGGCCCCGAGCGCGAACAGCGGTCTTTTCTTTTCGCCTACTGCAGGCGGTCCTACTGGATCGCACCCCAATCTGAACGCTACAGGAAGTACGGGAAATCGTGGCTCGACATACCTGCCTGCTGGTTACTACGCTGCTGCTGGTAGCTCCAACCCTGCTCCGGGTGGAGAGCCCCCATACTCGCCCACTGCTGGTCTCTCATCGCCTTCCCTGCCTCCTGCTGGTGTCTATCATGATTCGCATAATCAGCGCCACTCTTATGTGGGTGGGTCGACGAGTTCTTTGAACCTGAACCAGGCGCCGCAGGGTCGTGCTCCTAGCGCGTACCTTGAGGATTTGTTTGAGAGTCATGCTCCTCACGGTTCTGATTCGGGCCGTCGGTAACGCCTATGAGTTCGAGCTCCCGGCTAGTCATTATATGAAGGAATGATATTGGCGAACTTATTTTTTTTCTTGAATCTATATTGAGATTTCTTGTCTTTTTTTTTTTTTTCTCTGGCTTTTGCTCTACATATATTCTCTTGTCCATTTTATTATGGGTCTGTTTTAACTCGGCGTTCCATACACCCTTTCACACGAGGCGATCTGCTTCTCCATTTTTGTCTGCGCATTATTAACTATTACTTCCCTGTCAATACAACTTAGTTTACTCACAAAGTAATTATGGATACCTACAACCCTACTATTATTTTCCAACTCTTGGAGTCAATATCTATTCCATTACATGTGGGAAACGATGGATCAAAACTGGTGTTTCATTGAGATCGAGGTGTGAAATCATCAAATATCGTTAAGGCCAACCGAAAAGGGCGAAAATGAAAAGCAAAAAAGAACGCAAAAGAAGTCACCAAGCCGATTCATATCGACAAAACACACCCTCTAAAACCAAGAATATGTGCTTGAACCGTGGGACGGGGTATTGGGTATCTACGATTCAAAAGAAAGCGAACTAGTCAACGCGCTTGTACAGCTTGGCCTTGGAGCCAGCTGACGAGGCTCCGGCACAACAAGCAGCAGGCTGCTCCTCGGGATGGAGTGAAGATTTGTTGAACAACTGGGAGGATTGCGGAACGTCAAGAGCCGGGTTCTTGTTGAAGAAGCCATCGGGCTTCAGCATGACGCTGATACGCTCCATCGGCATGACGGGGAAGTCCTCAATGCGAGGGTTGTGGGTAAGACCGAAGGCTGCAGGGGGTTGTTAGTTATGCAGTACAGATAAAATTGCGGGGAGGAATGCTTACTGTGCCAAAGGACGACATCTTCGTTCTCTGTGTTCTCCTTGCGCTGCACCCAAGTCTCGACGCCCTCAGCGCGGCGACTTTGGTTGGTGAACTCGCCTGCGGCGTACAGTTCATCGTCCTGGTACTTGGTGACCCAGATCGGCTTGGTGGCAAACTCAGCACGGCGGAAGCCATGGGCATTCTTACTGACCAGAAGCATTTGGCTGGGAGCAGCCATAAGTTTGTATGCAACAGGCTTGTAAGTGATTGGGTTGGTAATGTTGTCGTTGCGGATCTTGAAGACACGGTGACGATCCACGCTAGTGTTCGCTGTGCCTGCCGTGCGCATCACGGTAGACTCGGAGGTATAGCCCACAAGGTAGGGGTTATTCTCGTCTTCTGGCATAGGAACGCTGTCCTCATAATAGATGGTATTCTTAAATCCATCAATGGCAGGGTCAATCCGTAGGGAGAACATATGCTGGTGGAAGGGAGCCATAACACCAGGACCGACGTTGGTGCCCCAAGGGACGGTTTCGCCGTTCTCGTTGTCGAATGGGACGGTGGAAAGAATGCCGGTAGCCCGGACTTCCAATTCGACATTGGCGGCTTGATCAAAGATGTAGTTGAAGATGTACTCGTAGTTGGCTACAGTACAAATCATCTGCAGAACCAACTGGCGGTTGCGCACAACGGTAGCAGCACCGGACCGATAGTTAGTGTGCTTGTGCTGCAAACCATTATCTTGCTCGTGCATGCAAATCACGTTCTTCAGCTGCAGTGGGTTGCCTTTAGAGTCGTTGCGGTACCCATCAAAATACTTGATATGGCCGAGACAGTCACATCCAAGAGCCAACTGATTGGCATTCATACCAAATCCAGTGTCGCCAACATCAAATGCCTGCTTGCGGTGGTAGGGGGGCTCGGGGATCTAGATTCATATTAGTTAGATCCGCTGGGAGTTGAGTGTGGTATGAGCTCCAATTCCACTTACCTCCATAGGGAACAGTCATCTCAGAAACAGCCAAACGATAGAAGAGGTTTCTGTTATCGTATGTAACGTTGTAGATAATCAGGCCTTCGCGGGCGTTGAAACCGACCCTGAAGCGCCACTTCTGCCAGTAGACGGAGTTGCCATCCACCGAGAAAG